CGGCCGGGCTCGCAGATGCCTCGGGCGCTGCGGGGTTTGTGGAACAGGCCTGCTTACTAGTCCCAGTGTGCACAGAAACGCTGCTTTCTAAAATAAACTGGGAGAAGAAAGAAACTAAAAATGCTGCTTTGGCCAGGTCAGCTTGTGAGGTAGCTGAATACATCCATGAAGGAAGTTCAGAGGAAAAAACAACAACAAAAATTAAATCCAAAGCGAATCAAGGCAGTGGGACTGGAGGCACACAGCATCCCTGGCGTGATTACAACCACCCAAGTGCGGATACTTGTGTGGGTTTGCATTGCAGATTGCTGAAGACACTTTCTCAGGGTTTCACAAAATTGAAACCATTTTGTGCGTCAATAAAACTCGCTTTAGGACAGCTATGGGTTATATCATTAAATAAGGTGCATTTACAAGTGATGGCTTTAGTTACAAACTATATCAAGTGGTAGTGTTGTTGGAAAACAGACTACTTCAGTCACCATGTTTTAATTTCTAAAAATGGAATTGAGTTAAAATAGGTCAGATTACCGGAGTGGGGAGATTAATGACAGTTTTGATATATCTGACAAGTTTATGAGGGTCATCCATTTACTGCCATGCATTGTAGTTTTTCTTCTATTTGCATGGATTTTTCTACATGTAAGAACTCCCACTGAAAAAAAATAATGGTCAAGGCAGGCCAAACGGCTCACAAAAAAGCTTTTGGACCGTTTCAGGAAACAGAATGGACTTGAAGCAAATTCTCTGTTTAAATCTATCATCTTGCCGCATCCTTGGCATAGCCAAGTTTACATACAGTTAGAAACTGCGGCATCAATACCAGAGGAAAGATAAGCCAGTGTGAACTTTGGCTGAGTTTAGTGTTACCTTATTTCCCCAGTGGACTTGAAAGCACACAGCTCGCTGACTCTCTGCTTCTCACCCCCAGCTTGTTAAAATAAAGGTAGCCGGGGAGAAGCACTGTGGACAGCTCAGTGACAGGAAAGAGACCAGAATACTCCGTGCGTCCTTGGTCTTGGGCTTCGTGCCCAATTCTCTTCTGTGCCCTGTTCCAAATAGAAGAAAATCTGACATTTTCTTCTTTAAGAGACTAAAGAAGAAAGACTGGTCCCCTAGTTTTAGATAGTTATTCCTCTTTCTCAATCTGGTCATTGTTTGAATTCTTCAGGTTAGTTGCATCAGGTTAACTTCTTCAGGACAGAGACAATGTAATTTTACTGCTGCTGTGCATAACAGGTAATGAGCTTACAACTTAAATGCCACTTAACGTGCAGATGCACTCTCGGTACACAAATAGCAACCCTAAACTTATCACCTTGGCATCTTGTATGTCAAGGAAAAGATATTTCATAGGTTTCAATCTTCTTTAGAAGACTGTTGGTTTGTTGAAGAATGTGGGTCTTGAACAAGGTTAGTGGAATGAAAGAGTTGAAATACTATGAGTAGATGAGCCCTAAACCATGTTTGACAGACATAGGGGGTGGGGGAAATGAAAAGAAAGCTATTTTGAAAGTTAAATTGATAGTAATTCTACCTTGAAGTAAACTAACTAACAGATTTTTCTTTTTCTTTTTTTTTTTAAGTGGGTAACACTTTGGCCTTCAACTATACCTTATAGTTATTTGGGAATATTTGGTAGCTTCCTTAATTATTTAGTGGAAAACCACCACAAATGGGTATGCTATGGGTAAGTTATATTTGACTGTGTAATTATCTTGCATCTCTCTTGTTGCCTCTCTGACTCTTCTGCTTAGTCTGTGTTAACAAGCTTTCCTGTAACCCAGTTGTTAATTACATTTAAAGAGCTCTCCTTTCAAGCTCATTACAACTAAGGGTGTGGGTTAATAAGTATGTAGAGGACTAGACAGGCTAAAATCAGTATGAAATGTTAAAAATTCAACTTAGAAATTGGTATTTGTGTTGTTATAATGAGACAGGAAAAAAAAAGTAAGATACTACTTTTGGAGACTGTTAGTAGTCCATATGTAAACTTATATTTGTAACACCTCCTAAAAGTGGTTCTTCTGTCAAATTGTTACTCAAATAGTCTAATTCTTTCTTTAGGAGTCTTCTTTTTCCAGCTTCAATTCAAGAACATTTTCTACCCTCCTACTAACTTATCATGATCCTGTCCACGTGAGAAATAACCCGCTGAAGAAACTGCATGGGATACAAAACTTAGGTTTTGTTATTTTAACTAACAAAAGAGCTGGAAAACATTTCCTTGTAGCCAGGTCTTTCACTTCCTGTAAAGAGAGGAAGACAGCAAGACTTTCTTATTTATTTTACCATGCATCACGCAGAAGATAAGCCTTCACATTTGCTCAGAGCATCTTTTGATCCTAACTGAATTTCCTGTGTAACTTTTTTTTTAAAAAAAAGCTTCTATATGAAAATTTGTAGACCAAGTAATATTTTATATTCTGAATCTATACACACAGTTGTTTTCATAGAACTAAGTCTATAACCTTCAGTAACTCATTAGGACCACTAAAAATACTTGTGTAAGTAAAAGGATAGATTTTGCACACTTAACCAAGATTAACTTGTACTGCTGTTAGTAAGCATTCGCCTTTTTGGCATGATCTAAGTGCTGAAAGTTTTGGAAACACGCAGTGGATACTTGAAATGGCAGGTCAAGGCATATTGCATGAATTACAGTTCCTCTAGTTTTCTCAGAGGACTTTAGTTTCTTTTAAGAGTACGCATGGTTTTTTCCTAAGATAAGAAACATGCCTCACTTTTGAGGTTAAAGTGAGTTGTCATTTCTGTGCTTCCAGTTTTACATTCTCTGCATAATGCATCTTGAATACAACGGTCTTCTCCCTAACTTTCAACAAAGTAAACCATGTTTTCTTTTTATTAGGTTCTGGGTGTCCTGGTTAATTCACATAGTAGAAGCCCTCTACGGTGTTAAGTTATGCCAGTAAGTTGTTCCTTCCCTTGACCCCAACACAGATCCTCTGGAAAGGATCTCTGGTACAAATGACATGAGCTACAGACTGATTTTGGTGGTTCTCAGAAGCCATGTTAGTTCAGAGGATACTGATAAAATTCTTGCTGCAGTGATAGTTTGCTATCCTCCACAAGAGGTTACTGCGAATTCTGCTCGTGGTTACTGTTGTACAGGGTGGCAAAAGCAAGGGATGGCAACTTGCAGAATGGCAGCAGCAGAGTTTGCCAGAGATTTCATCTGTCTGCCTCTGAACTCACTGTTCCCTGGGTAACATTGCGCTTTAGGAAACAAAGGGAACAATAGCATTGAAATAGTCTGATAACTTCAGGTGTTATAATTTCATCACATCTTACCTCATCAGAATTCTGAGACTGGTAATTACCTCCTTAAATGATTGCATCTATATTGTGAGAATACAATTGGACGCTTCCATTTGAGATTATTTAAGATCTACTTGTATCTGCAGGTTTGTGGGATAAAATACTTTGACTAATCAGACTTTATGGCCAACTAAAGACTTATGCTAGGATAACGAATCATTTGGAAAGGTATGCTCTCCAAACACATCGTCCTTCTGTTCATTTGAATTTTATTTGTAGTAGTTCAGAAAAATTTAGATACTGGTTTTCATGCTCTAGAGAGTAGATGGCCAGCCTGCCATTACAAAAATGGTGGTTTTCTACTTCCTTTAGTTCAGTTCACAGCTGTCTGTCACAGGCTTCTCAGGTAACATCTCTTGGAGACAGAGGGATTTTGTTCCATGGAAAGCTATTTAAGGTGGTTCTCGAGATAATAGAATATGGATGAACATTTTCTGCCTTCAGAATGGGAGCTAGTAAAAATTTTTTTTACCAGGCTCCAGTTTTCAATTATGTAGCTTTAAAGTTAAAACTTTAACTCTGATTCTGCAGATAGAAAGGTATATGGGCTTAATGCGATTTTTAAATATGAGGGAACTTTGATTACTAGTGAATGTAACAAATCAGTGTATTGTAATCAAGTATTGAAGTTTTACAGAGCAGTGTTAAAGCCCATAAGAAAGAGAGTGCATAGATTGCCTGCCCATCATCATCTCTTTAAGCATGCTTCTGTAGATTACTAAACAGTTGTACTTTACTACAAGCCCCAAACACCATGTACTTTTTACTGATGTAAAAGCGATGTCTACTTATGAACCTCACAAAGGAGGCCTGAGGAAGAACTAGTGAGGAAGTAGATACAAATTTGTTAATCATTAGTAGTACTGTCATTGGCTGTTGGCCTGTATTTCCGCATATGGTCTAGTCAAGTAAGCTTGCTTTATACAGGCAGGTAAGTTTTTCAGTCTCTGCACTCATTTGGAAACACTGCAGCTGGGATTATTAAAAAAAAAGGGTTTTCACAGCTGGTAAGACAGTTTAAGAATGAACATTGAGAAATGTTGTGTTAATCAACACTTGCTACACAATCATTTTGTACGTGTGGAGGGTATGGAATAATGAACAGCTGAACTACTCCAGCGAAGGTCGGTAGAGGGAGCTCCCTTGTCAACTAATCAGTTGGAGCGCAGTTATGCTTGACATAATTTACTGGAAATGTGAAATTCATTGGTTTTGGTGTCATGTTTATACTCATTCTTTTCTCTGAAAATTCAGTAGTAATTCCCAATAACAATGAAGTGGAGGAAAAAGTGACATTTTCTGTAATATACGGAAAAAATCGTATATGCTAAGTTAAAACTAACTGACATAGGAAGGTCTCTGCTTCCTAAATCAGGTCAGGTGTCTTCAGCCCCCTGTACCTGTATTTTTCTAGGCAGAAATTCAGGTAACAGTGCTTCTCCATCCTGCATTACGCAGTAATTGTCAGGCCTCTTTGCCCTGCTAGCATACAGTCTACCTTCAGTGACTGTAGTCAACAAGAAGTTATATACTCATTTGTGTATTAAGATTAGTATTAAGCTACTCTAATTTCTTGGTTCTTTGTATATAAGCTTCTAGGATAAGTAATTTCAAATAGCATAGATGGAGATTGCAATTTATATATTATTGAGGAAAGTGTATGCATGAAATCTCCAAAGGAACCTTTGTTCCATAGATAGCTTAAAATCCACTAAAATCACAAGAACTGGTATGTTTAGTTAGTACAGGGAATAAGTCTCAGTAGATTGAAATTAATGATGCTAAGTTCAAATGTTCTAATCAAGTCTGATGTATCAAGAATGGGTAGAGATATCTAACCTTACTTTGTAAGTATCACAGTATAGTCTGCAAGACCATAAGGGTTTGGTTTTGTTTTGGCGTTTTTTTGACACCTTTTTTGCTTTTGTTAACATTACAGATCTAAAGGAATCACCGACCCAGCAATTCAGTTTCAATGGTTCGTTCAGACACTTTTATTTGGGTATGCTTCCTTTGGTCTTCTGGTGTCTTACAAACCTTCAGCCAAGAAGCAGTACTAGAAGACAGTGAAAGAAGTCACTTCTCACATTTTTCATCCTCATTTTTCAGAAAATATCCTCACTTACATGTCTAGGTGCTGTAATTAGCTAAATTACATTCTTGCTACATGATGCAGTGCCCTTCTACCCAAGTAACTCTGCTACTCTCCTCTTACTAAATAAGACATAATTCACAGGACCCTGTGGGTAGCTCAGTGGAAATTCACCCCTTCAGCCTTGGCACTGCCAAAGTTTAATCCTATTTATTATGCAAGAAGTCAAAAGTTGCTTCTCTCTGGTTTTTGACATAGACTGTATATTCTGATTGTCATTGAAAAGTCCCTGACAGCTGGTAGTAATGGTTGATAAATTACCTTTTTATGTGGAAGAATTTTCTTCTACAACAGAGGGAGTTATTTACAGCCACAGGACAACTTGCACCTCTTTTGTGATAAGATTTAAATTTACCTAGATATTCTCTACAGGGCATTTTACTGGCTGGGTTGTTGTTTTTGTTGTTAGAATTTGGTCTTTGTACTTTGTTTTGTCAACTTATTTTCTTCCACGAAGGACGGACCACTGTATTGATGCAGGCACATTAAAAAGAATAAGTCTCAGTTCATGTTGAGGTGCAGTGATGAGCTTGATACATAAAGCACTTTAACTTGGTTTAATACATGTGCCTTAAATTTCATGCAGCATGACCTCATCTTTTGAATGAATATTTTAATCTTTGAGTTACTACAGCATAAAGTAGTAGAGCCTGTAGCTTTCAGGGCAGCTTTTTTGAAAAGTAATACATTATCCAAGAAAAAAGAAAAAGATTAATTAACATTCCAAAACCTAGCTGAAAATGTTATATTTGTGAATAGAATTAGATGTAGTGAGTCAACATACACCATTCTTTCCCAGATGCTGATGTCCTGTAATCTATGGTTGAGAGACCATCTTAAGCACCCCTCAGAGTATTTCCTGTACATGTAGTGAGCCTTTTATCATATTGTCTTTTACTTTTGAACAAGAATTTAGCCTGTCTTATTTTAGCACTTTTAAAAATAATAACTATTTATAATACTAAATACTGGTGTGGGGAGAAGTTTTACCACGCCACTTGTGGTGCTACTGTTTTGGAAAAAAGGACAAGAAAAGGTTGTTCTTCCTCTAACAAAGAGCTCCACGAGGCAGTAACAAATAAACTTATGCCTTGTGCAGTACCTACAGAGTGTAACAGCTCTGATAGAGAAGTCTTATTCAAGCACAGCTACAGAAAGTTTTTGCTTTTCAGTGGGTACTAAAAGTATGGAGAAATGAAGGGTTTGAAGTGGTGGTTTGTTTTGGTGTTTGTGTTTGGGTTTTTTATGACAAACTGATAACTAACATTTTGTAGAGAAGTAGAAACTCATGTTTAGTGGCTAGAAATCCAACAGGAATGTCGAGAACCTAAGCTATGTTTTACTGTGTAACCTTTTATCTTAGTCTGTGACTCTGGAATAAAAATTCTAAAAAAAAGTAAAGTTGTTTTTCTTTAACTTATCCTGGAAGTAAATGTCTATACAAAATATATAGGCATCATCTTTACACCAATATCAGTATTCACACTTAGAACATATAGGATGGTAGTAAGACTTTTTTCTTCTTAATAGGCATTTTTGTCTGTTCTTGTTTCCCACTATTCACTTACCATCAGTGAAGCTCTAACTAAGGTCAGAACTACTACGCTAGCTTCCTCTCCCACCACCAAACCGCACACCAAGCACTTGGCGTGCTCACCATCGCAGCTTTCACAGCCCTCATGCCAGGACTGGGGAATGGCTATAGATAAATCACAGCTCTGAGAAGTTAACCGCTCGCTTACTGTTAGACTCAACCTAATTAGAAGGGCTTCCTTTTAGAGAGGCAATGGTAAAAGCTTCCTCAGTGGAGCCCGAGGAAGCTGTAAAAGAAAAAAAGTGTAGTCAATTCATAACTGCCTTAGTTGAAAAATATTTCCAAGTTAGAACAAGTTTTAGCCAGACACTGGGATCAGCAGAGTTTTTTCAAGCCTCTCTGGGTGTTGTGTTTTGGGTTTTTTTTGTTTGGTTGGTTTTTTTAAGCTTGACAGAACTCAGCAGCTCTCTGTTTGGAGGTGGTTGGACATTGCTTATCAAACTTTTTAGAAATGCAACTGCATTGTATTCATTTACCTTCAAACATTTTTCTCTTCCCTACTCTTGCTTGGCAGCAGTTCTGGTTTTCCACTTTTTTTTTTTTTTTTTAAAAAAAAGAAGTATTTACTGTCAGCCTCTGTCCCAGAACTGTAAGCATCACAGATACCTGTTTTCTAATGTTTTTGAAGCCCATGAGATCCCCAACTCAAAATTTGAGAAGCAATGCTGACTAGCTTTTAGTGTAAAATAGCCTTGAGGAAAAAGAAACAAACCCACGGAATGACAAGATTCAAAATAATATTGACATACCATTTCTGAATATTTGTTTATAGGTTCCCTACCATCGCAGCAAGATAAACATACCATAATACCTTACAAAATTACTAGCTAAAAAAAGCCAGCAGAAGCATGAACAGCATGCAACTCACTAAGTCAGCAACTCACTAGGCTCAGGGACGTACATTGATGGCTAGTAACAGGCTCTTCACAAACAGCACTGGTTGCACCAGACGTAAGCATTTCTGCAGGCTATCCTGAGTGACAACAAAGGATTACGCTTAATCACATAGAGCAATTCTTTCCACTGCAATCAAAATACCCTTTCCACAACAAGAGGGGAGAGCAACAGAAGCGTACCCTTACGTTCTTACAGCAGCTGAAAGGCTAGGCTGAGTGCCAAACCATCTCCCACACCAACACCCAACCCACCAGGCCTGCCAAAAGAAAACACTTGCAAATGTTAGTACTTCACTGTAAAAAAATGTTTCAAAATATTACTTCCCACCAAAAGGAAAACCAAATGAAACTCACAGAAGGGCTTTTACTATTGAAGAACACCACTAAATAAGGAGGTAAATCACCAAGAAAGCTAAGCTGACATTAAGAAAGGTTTTTTCAGGGTGGATATTTCTGCCAACTAGGCTGTTGACAGTAGTGAAGAGGAATAAATACCGTTTAGCCTCGATTTCAAATTGAAAACATAAGAAAAAACCCAATCTTGCTATGATAGCCTATGTGCAAAACTGGGTATGCTTTATACTAATAATGTAAAGTAGATGCCAAGAAAATTAAAACAACAGTGCCCATTTTTTCTAGGCATGTACAAAAATAAGGCAGCATTTATTTAACCTGTATTGGTGAGAAAAAAGAAATAATTTCATACAAGTCACAAATAACCACATCATTTACAACAGTGCTTTTATGCTGTGAGTGTTTGGTAACTTTGTTGCAGGAGAAAACAGGAAAGAGACTACCCAGATCCCTTTCCACTTATAAATTATAATATATGGAATTTATGGAAGTGTGTGTAATGTACTTCTTATAAGTAAGGCAGGTAATCCAGATCAGCATGTTTGGCAAATCACTGCTCAAATCAAGCTCTTTTGATGAGAAGCTGGGTCAGCAAATGCAGCATCAGCTCAGAAACTTTGCTGAGCCTGAACAGAGGCAACAAGATGTCTTCCATCTGCTTCCAAAAACTGTTTCTAAAGCCTCTGCAGCTGTAGCTCATTTTTGCAAGGGAGTGATGAAAAACCTCTCTCAGAATCACAGTATGTTGTCTTGTTTTGCTTTCATGCTGACCTAGATTTTTCTAAACACAACAGGAGGCAACTGGGCCAGCCTTTGGAAATACCGAAGTGTTGGTTCATTAAGAACATTTAACTTGCCCTGGGGCTGGGCAGCTGGTCTTCTGAATGGCAACAGAGCCCAGGTAAAGCTGGAGGAACGGCCTTGTTGACCACCATTGTTGTAGAGTCTGCAGTAAGTTTGACCACTATAGGCAAGGTCTTTGAAGTCCTACAGTCTGCTTCTTGTGGGCATTCTGGCACGACCGCTGCAGCGGGGGGACAGAAATTGCAGACCTTCCACAGAAATGCAGTAGATTTTAGAGGAACACGTTACAGAAAGCAACTTGTAGCTCACCGATTTTAAGGCTTGCAGCCAAATGACCTTTGCAACGGAAGAAGGAACTAATGCAGTAGTGTTTCCATGAATGACAGAATCTGAATTATATGTATCATCTGTATTTATACCTTGCATTTGAATAAAGAGGGGGACAGCAATTCACATTTTTTAATTACAGTATTGTTGTATATGAGCCCTTGTTAATGAGGCCATCAGTCTCACTTCACTATTTACAAGGCTATGCAGTTTAAAAAAATCCTTTGCTTTTTTGCTTGTTAATTACCAGCTTGTACATTTTTATTCCCCTGCCTCCCAGCAGGTGATCCCCACATACAAAATAAAGAGATTTTTCTAAAGGTTTTTTTAATGACACCACTCATTTAAGGATGTAATGAATTTTTTTGGCATGTTGCCAACAGCCTATACATTCAGTTTATCTTGTCAGCAAGGTGTTTATTCAGACTGGTGCCTGTATGAAAGGCCAGCATGGACAGGGCAAGAAACTGTCATGGTTTGTTGAAAGAAAAAGAAACAAAAATCCCCTCAACATTTCCTTTACCATTGCTCTTCAGAGGCGAGTCAGTACTATGGCACAATCCACATGCTGTGCTAGACCTTACAAGGCCCCTGCAACTCCAAGCATAACCACAGCACATGCCTAGGAAAGAGAAGGGGAGAGGAGGAAAGAGAGGCATAAGGAATACCATTCTGTCATTTATCAGTCTTCTTTGAGACTATTCTCTCAAAGCAAAACCTCTTAGATGCCCCTTGAGGGAATAGACAGGGAGACCAATTTGCCAAGCTTGGAAACCACACAAGTTAAAATCTCTTCATAAAGATATTCTAGATTTCTTAGACTCAATGGTTGGACTCAATGATCCCAGAGGTCTCTTCCAACCAAATTGACTCTGTGATTCTTATCAAAAGAAAAAACACACACAAACAACACCCTTTTCCACAAATTTCAGA